TGTGTGTGTATGTGTGTGTGTGCATGTGTGTATGTGTGGATTGTATGCGTGTTTATTTCAAAGTTTCTTATGGGAAAGAATGTGCTAATGTGAATGATGAATTGTTGAAAGAATGAATAAATGAACGAATGAGTGAGTGAGTGAATGAATGAGTGAATGAGCAAATGAATGAGTTAAACAATTGCAGAAGATAGAATTACTAATTATTAATAATAATATATAATTAAATCATCATTAGCCAATGCTTAGATTCATTTTAAATTTATACCAAATTAATTATGTTTTAAAAGTGTGTGTGTGTTTGTATGTTTTACATATGTGCGTGTATGTGTACTTTGTATACATCTTGTGTACGTATAATTGTGTGTGTGATATTTATGTGAGTTTATGTGTGTGTGATATATGTGAGTGTATGTGTGTGTGATATATGTGTAAAACTATTTGTATATATATCCAAATAGTTCGTCATTTTCATGTTAATTATATATGGATAGCACCTCAAATTTTATTGCACTAACACGTAACACAAAGTTGAAGTGTGTGTGTGTGTTATTTGTTTGTGAAATGGTGTTAATGTCTCTCTCTCTCTCTCTCTCTCTCTCTCTCTCTGTTGTGTGTGTGTGTTTGTGCGTGTGTGTGCGTGTGTGTGTGGGTTTATGTGGTCGAGTGCTACTTTGAACTTATTTACAATGTCGATCGAATGTTAGAAAATTGTTGTTGAATTTTTGAAGGTGTGTTGTGTTGTATTTTTGTGGGTTTAACCTCAGAAATATGACGAATCATACCACCAAAAAACAACGAAGCAAAATACTTTGTAACCTAATTAATGTTACAATCAGTTAGTACGACACTAAATGATGCTCATCTATTCGTTTTCAGTATCAATTGTTATTGTTATACACGAGACTAATTAACTTGCTTGATGTATTCGGTCAATAAATCTATTTAATCAAAATATCTTATATATTTATGAAAAGGATTATTCATTGTCAATGTGTTTTAGTTTTATTAACATCAAGTTATTATTATTAATATTATTGTTATTAATAATAATAATATCATTGTTGTTATATTATTGCAACATTACGTTTACATTACATTAACAACAGATCATTGTACAGTTGCATTAATGTTTTATTTCCAATCTCCAAACATCTTTGACGTTAACATCTTTAACATCAACACAAAAGAACAGGAATTGAAAATTTTAAACATGTGTAAGGCAAAAATTATATGAGCGAAGCATGTTGTTAGTTCGTTCGTTCGTTCGTTCGTTCGTTCGTTCATTCATTTATTCATTATATTCATATAGAGAAAGAGAGAGAGAGAGAGAGAGAGAGAAAGAGAGAAAGACAGACAGATAGACAAACGACAATAAATGTATTCCTTCTTTCGTTCTTTCGCTTGTTCATTCATTCATTCATTTGTTCGTCATTCATTCATTCATTTGTTAGTCCATTCATTCAATTCGTTAGGAGTAACAACAAATTGACTTTGTAAAACTAGCACGTGTGATAATTAACGGCACCTCACGACAATAACATCAGTAATAATAACAAAACAATGGTACTACTACTACCACTACTACTACTACTACTACTACCACTACTACTACTACTACTACTACTACTACTACTACTACCACTACTACTACCACTACTACTACTACTACTACTACTACTACTACTACTACTACTACTACTACTACTAACTCTACTACAATTACTACTACTGATGATGATGACGCTGACGATTATATAGAGAAGATAGAGGGAAATTATAATGACGTCATTAAGAGGGATGTACTAGTGCAAAGTCATTTGTGCAATTGACTACCACCAACCAACCAACCAACCAATCAGCGGACCAGACCAGCCAATCGGCCAGCCAGTCAACCAATCAATCAACCAACCAGCCAGCCAGCCGGCAACTTAACTGTATATCTGCATCTCATTTCCTTGATTGTGCTGATAATAATTATTTGCGAATTTCCAAAATGATTTTTTTAGAGTTGTTCAGCAGAATCAGCTTGTTTCTCAGTAATTTTTTTGAATATAATAATTAATTAAAATTATTATTATTAATAATTCATAATTAATTTTATTTATTATTATGTCTACTATTATTATTACTGCTGCTGTTGTTTTTGTTGTTAATAATTATCATATGAAGTTTCTATCAGCTTGAATTCGAGCTTTTTCTAGAAGATATAACAACGAATATGATAAGTTTACAAACGTGATACTACGATTAAGCATTCTAGAGTTATTAGATATTGGTGAAAGATTAATTGAACCATGTGGTTATGCAGATTACTAAGGTATTGTTGTCTAGATGGAGGTTAGGGTGTAGAGGGCTTTGTAATTGGATGGTAATTGCGTGGTAGGGCAGAGAGGGACGAGCCAAACGCCCCTGCATCTTTGGCCCACCCCAGCCTCTTACAAATGAAACAAAACTGTCTATTATAAATACGACTAATTTCGTTTTAAAATGAATTAGATGTTTGTTGGTTTTTGTTTGTATTTGTATGTGTTTCTATGTGTTTTAATTTATGTGATGTTTTTATGTGTATATGTGTGTATAAATAATATTTATTAAACAAAATTCTCGAATATTCAAATAAAAATGTAAAGATCGCAGAATTTAACACAGTAAAAAATTTCCAAAGAAAGGTTTTTATTGATATGAAGAGTCAGACAGACTAAGGATGATGTCTGTATGTATGTTTGTTTGTATGTTTGTGTATTTATATGTATATGTGTCGGTGTGTGTATATGTATGTGTGCATGTATGTATGTGTGTGTGTGTATGTATGTATGTATGCCTGTAAGTTCTTCCAATCAAAAAGATGTATGTGTAACTGTAATGATGAGTTTAAACGTTTCATTGTCTGTTACCGTCATCTCCATTGTTCATTCTTTTATTTTATTTGCAGAATTTGATCAATCAATCACGAGTCAACCATTCATTCGTTTATTCACTTTTTAATTTATTCGTTCATTCGTTTTGTCAATCCATCTTACGCTCGCTGCGCACACTCACTGTTCACTATCATTCTCCTAAATGTTCAATTCTTTCATTCATTCATTCCTTCATTCATTCATTTTTTTCATTCATTTTTTCATTCATTTTTTCATTCATTCGTTCGTTCGTTTGTTCGTTAATTCAATCATAATATTTACGATGTAAAAATACGAAGATCATATTGATTGACAAATGAACGAAATAAGTTTAGATTCTAAATGTAAACATTCCCATATAACACCGTTTCGTTTCGTTTGGCATCGTATCGCTAACTGTATCGTATCTTTTCGTACCGGGTATCATTCCATATATTTGTATAGTATCATGTTTATCATCTTTACTTAATACCGTTAGAGTTTTTAAATGATGTCGTTTAAAACCTAACCAAACACCTCCTAAGTTTCGTGAAAAATTATGAATTTTAAACCAATGTTCAAATACAGTAATGTAAAAAACACCAACTGATAAACACACACACACACATATACACACACACACACATACACACACACACACACACACACACACATGCAAACTTATTAGTCCTAAATATCTCCAAATAGGAATTAATAAGTTATTAAGCGAATGAATGAACAAATAAACATATGAACGAACGAATGAATGAATGTGCGAACTAACGATCGAACAAACGAATGAATGAATGAGTGAATGAATGAATAAACGAACGAACAAATGAATGAATAAATAAATAAACGAACGAACGAACGTATGATGTTTTTGTGCTGCATGTGATTTCAGTTACAAATTGTCCAAAGGAAACTGGTACAAATTTCTGTTTTAATAATTAGCCAACGTTACAGATGATGGGCCAGGCGTTATCTGAGTTGGGAAAATTTGTAATGTTATCTCTTTGTTTATTTCATTGATCTGCCAATATAGTGTAGATTGGTGTGTGTGTGTGTGTGTGTGTGTGTGTGTGTGTGTGTGTGTGTGTGTGTGTGTGTGTGTGTGTGTGTGTGTGTACGTCTCTCTCTCTCCCCTCTCTTTCTCCTCTCTCTATCTCATTTTCATTTATCATAATGAGATAAGAATGATAATGATTATGATGATAAAGATAATGATGATGAAGATGAAGATAGATGGATGAAGTTGATGAGAGGAGGAAGGGAAAAAAAAATTGGAGAAAGATAGTTAAGAGTCTGAAAGTGCTTGAGAGACAACCAACGACGCCAAGTTTGATGTAGATGAGTGATGAATGAGTGAATGTACAGGCCAATCAATCAATCAATCATTCTTTTTTTCATTCATTCATTCATTCATTCTTTCATTCACTCATTTATTCATTAATCTTGTCACTATCGTCATCATCATCGTCGTCGTCATCATCACCATCATCATCATCACCATCATCATCATCTTCATCATCATCATCATTGTCGTCGTTTTCGCGGTCAATTTTTCTTGGACAGATGGTCCTCTGTCATTAAAAACAAACGTGTGTGAATCTTTGTGAGTGTGTGTGTTTTCGGGTGTGCGTTCACTTGTGTGTGTGTGTTTGAGTGTGAATCTGTGTGTGTGTGTGTGTGTGTGTGTATGAATTTCTGTGTGTGTGTGTGTTTGCTTATGTGTGTGTGTGTGTGTGTATGTGTGTGTTTGCACTTTGAATACCCGTACTTGACTGATCATTAAACATTGTTAGTAGTGCAACCAATCTACATGATCGTAAAATAATTTAAAACTTGCAATGTGGATAGAGTTAATTTTTAGAATGATTTCATTAGTCGCTGTGCTGATTATGTCGATAGTAAAATGATAAACTTAATGAGGCAATAATCACGGGACGAACCACAATCTAAATTTATAAACTTTGTTCCAATTTATTGGTCCACAATAAATGTTTAAATTTTCATTAGAACTGGTCATAAAACTCGATCTTTGTAGCTCAAATCTTGTAAATGACTTTAATGGAATTGTATATAAGAGAAGTAATTTTTCTGATTTACAAAAATTGACAAGTTTTGTGGGTTCACCAAATCAGCGTAAAAATAGAACAAAGAATCTCTGAAGAAATAATATCTGAAATGGGCTCCTCATCTAGTAAGAAGCAAGAAAACCGTTTGAGGGAGGAGGTCGAAGATTCAGCCGAACACGGCAATGTGATTCCGATTTCGAGATTGTTATTCGAGACTAACTACTCATTTAGTCAAAACATAGCCAACCGTCTGAAGGAAATGGTTAAAGAGATGATTGATGACGCCAGAAGGATCCAGCTGTCAGACGAACTCTCTCAATTTGACGGTTTTCTAGTAGAAAATAATGACAAATTTCAAATTAAGAGAGATGAATTGAGAAAATTTGTGTGCGTCATTTCTCTGGATAGAGACCACCCGAGCAGAACCAGCGGGAGATTGAAATTAATAGTAACAGAGAGTGTGGAGGAGGAAATACTGAATCGCATTGGCACCATGCCGGCTGACACGCAGTACGAACTGCTGAAGAACATGCAAGATGCATACTTCGATGAAGTTACTGGGTACAATCTGGCCAGGAACATTTCTCTGAAGGAAGATGGAATAGACCGTGTAAGAATGACCTACACCGACCGATACATTGAAGCATTGGCTCGAAGCAGACGCTACCGTCTGCCCTACTTCTCTCACAAGTTCCTCCATAAGGACTGTCCAGTCTGCAAGAAAGAGTTTGTTGAGGGGAAGTTCGTGCACACCCTGCACTGTGGACATGCCCTTCATTTCCATTGTTCGGACGCTTACATCCAACACTTCAGCGTGTGTCCTTGTTGTCGCGCGGACCTTGTGGTCAATCACAGGGTGGTCGAAAGAGTTGAAAGCAAGATGAATGCCGATGGCTCCAGGGATCTTTATGTATCTCTGTCACGTGAGCCCAAATATTACTGACCATTCTAACATGTGTTGATGCTTTTGCATAATTCTTGTTGTCAAATAAATCTATTTGGTTTTGGCAGTCCTAATATTTGTTGTCTATCTTCAACGTCCGGATAATCAGAATTTAATTTTAAGACTTTATCACTTAAATGATAATATTTAAATTATATAAAACATTATAGTTTGAAGTGCACACATATATTCGTACAGAAAATGCAATTGTTAAGTTCCAGCTAAAATTTGTACGCCAATGAAAACCGTGGGATTATTTTTGAAAACTGACACTATATCAATTATTATATACTTATGTGTTGTTTATTTTGGTCATTAAATGTTTCTAAATTATTTTGGACAATTTTATTCCTTTCTCAAATTTTATTTTATTTATTAGTACGAAATTTAGCGGAAAAATTCTGTTTCTCAAAAAACATTTGCATTATCCAGATTCATAATTAAGCTTTCTCAATAATTTCTGTACAATTCAGGTAAAATAAACTGAAATCGAAAAGATACTTGAGCATGTTTTCTAATTAGAGTTTATTCAGTTTACGAGATTAATTTTTAGTCTAAAACATCTATGAAGTTCTAAAATTTTGCTGTTTCATGGTGGTGTCAAATCTTCAAATGTTTGTTCAATTTCACAAATTTTACAGATTCAAGACTACTTGTTGATTAATTTAAAAATTAATGAATAATTCGATTTAATTTGATTCAGATTTCAAGATGAAAACCTAGTTCGTTATCATCACATGGTTTGTTTCGGTTCGGCTTGTAGTTGAAGCTGGTTTGAGTTGCATGAACTGCGTGGAACCCTGTTGTAGTCGTGGTGTGTTCACGTGCGGATGTGACCCCTAGGTACTAATTAAATACTACATCTAATTACTACGTGTGATTCGAATTTTTTGAAAGTCCAAGAACTCGCAACCTCAAAAAATCGCTATCGCCCACAAGCGCTCCCGACATTAAATCGTTAAAATTGTTATTATTACTCATTATATTAGTATTATTATTTTTGTTTTACGATAGTAACGATTACTACGTTAAATTATTTTCCTTCAGAAGTAATTATTATTCCCATGTAATGTAACCAAATTAATTTTCATGTAGTTGAAAGTTCCCCCCCCAAAAAAAAGTGCGTACTTATCAATAGGAAGGCGACTTGCTTACTAACTACAACAACTACTACTACTACAACAACCACTACTACTACTACTACCGCTGTTACTAAAACAACCACTACTACTACAACATCCACTACTACTACAACAACCGCTATTACTAAAACAACAACTATTACTACAACCACTACTACTACTACAACAACCGCGATTACTACAACAACCACCACTACTACTACTACAACAGCCAACACTACTACTACTACAGCCACTGTTCGACCAGTCTACAACGCTGAATTATCATTGAAAAAAGTGAAAAATTGACGGTGACGATAATATGTAGTTTTAAGAATATAGACAAATAATAACAACAACAATAATAACAACAAAAAACAACAATAATAATAATTCGCCTTATTTTTTTAGTTGTTGACTTAATAAGTTTTCTGATGATTGACTCTCAAACATTTGCATCGATATAATTCTTCAGATATTTTCTATTATGTATATTTTTTATATCAGTGTGTGTGTGTGTATGTGTGTGTGTGTGTTATTGTCTGTGTATATGTGTGTGTATTATTGTGTGTGTATATGTGTGTATTATTGTGTGTGTGTATGTGTGTATGTTATTGTGTATGTGTTTTTACTTACAAAAACAAAGTGTAAAAAATTAAAATTAAACTAAGTGATTGTTTTTTAATTTTAATTGTATAGTAAGATCGAGAAAAAGGAAAGAAGAGTTGAAGAATAAACGAAAGAGATAGAGAGGGAGAGAAAGGGAGAAAAAAAGATAGGGTAAGAGAGAGAGAGAGGGAGAGAGAAGGAAAATGTGAAATTTACCTCTTAAGAACAACCCCATAAAAATTACACCAATACATTCACTTCACTCACATACACACATACATAACTCCAACATGAAGCAGTATTAACAAAGGTATATAACGTCTTACACAGTTACGTAAGAAAACTTTTGAAAGGCATATGTTCAGCAAGTTACTTCAAAGTTTTGTAAGATAAGATGGGGTGTGACGAAACAATTTCTTAGAATTTAATAATTCAATATTAGTTAAATGTAAAAACGTGTTCTTATTCTAATTAGACTTGCGTAAACAAACGCATTCTATAATTATTTTTAATCAATTAATTATCAATTATTTAATTAATTTAATTAACTGACTTGACGAACGACTGAAAATATCATACCATCAAATTGTAACCCAAATTATACCACAGAATATGACACCAAAAAATTATACAACTATTTCACAAGAATCACACAAAGCATTTTTTAACAAACTTAATAAAAATAAAAATACTAATACAAACCAAATGCAAATAAAAACATTTATAGAAAAAAAGAAGAGAAATGTGGTGGGCTGGATCTAGGACAGGTTTGGTTAAGTTAGGCTTTCACAAAAAAGAAGCCTTCAGAAATACAATATTGTATTTAATACATTAATTTGGACGAAAGAGTGTTCATAATTTTGCAACAAAACTGGTGAAAAAATATATCAGGAAATTTCTTTTACAGACAAATTATTTAAAATATCGGCATATTGATTTTGATTAAGAATATTAATAAATCTTTTCTGATCTCCATACAAATAAATTCAGACCCTATCTTAAATATTTTGGGGTTTCTACGTCTTCTGTGCCTAGGTACCCTGCTTGGCTCTGGATTACCCGCCTTCATTAACAGCCCTTTAAAGACCAAAAATAAAAAGCCAATAAGTGTATCGTAGTCACATTGTGCATTTAACAATACATTAGTTTAACAATACAGACAAGCCTGTTGGACAGGCGTTTTGATTTGATTCAAATCTATTGATTTGAATAAAGAAAAAGTAATACATGTGAGTTCATGAGATGAATTTACATACAAAGTATACAATTTTACAAATTTACAAAATGTGTGTGTGTGAGAAAGAGAGAAAGAGAGAGAGAGAGAGAGAGAGAGAGAGAGAGAGAGAAAGATAATACAAAAGTGACGAAACGAAAAACATATAGTAAAAAATATAACATTTCAAATCTACAAACACACGGCCATAAAAATACAAATGAGAACAAATAACAACAGCCATTTACATTCACACATGTTCCTACACACATATACACAAATACACACACACACACAAACATACAAACACTGTCATATACATACAAGGACATTAACTTCTTCTTTGATCTCTCACGTGTTAAATTGAATGGGTCATAAATCATTGCATTCATTCGTGATCATGACAAATTGTTTCTAAGTGAGTGACTTTATGTGTGTATGGTTGTATGTGTGTGTGTGAATGTGTGTGTGTGTGTGCATGTGTATGTGTTTATATGTGTATAAACCATCAATTTTTATTATAATACATACACCCACACGCATACATACACGGATATACCCAAACACACATACTCAGAGACACGCAAACAAAACAAACTTAAACACACAGACGCGCACACACACACACAAAAAACATACACACACAAAACACACACACACACACAAGCAAACACACAAGCAAACATACAGACCATCAATTCTAATAAACAGACTGACTGGCTGCCAATAAAGTTAGACGTATTATTACCAGTTTGGGGTACTGTTGGAATGTAATACCAGTGTATGCTACTGTATTTGCTGGCTGGCAAGAGTAAGATAAAGATTGATTATGGTTTAATATTTTCGGGATCAAGTTCTTTCTTCTAAACTTCCGTAACATTGTTTAATTACTTTTGACAATGTTTTTCATTTATTATCACGTTTATTCAGTTGATTATCAATTCGGTCGTTAGTTCGTTCTTCGTTTGTTCGCTCACTCATGTATTTATTCATTCATTCATTCATTCATCCATCCATCCATCCATTCATTATTTTACCCTTAAAATGATTTGTAATCCATTGAACTTGAACTTTCCATCCATCCATCCATCCATCTTAATGTTGCCATGAAAAGTGGATGTTAATTAAAATTGGTCGTTGCGTCATAAACCCAATGACGGGAAGGATTACTTATGACGACGAGCATGCCATAAACATAAACGTTTCATATTCATTGTGTACTTGATGTTTCTCTCTCTCTCTCTCTCTCTCCCTTTCTTTTTTCAACTTTTTTGTCTCTTTCAGCGTTTGACTCTCTCTTTTTTTTCTATCTCTTCATCATTATCTTTCTCTCTTCTTTTATCTTCAAACATGTATTCCTCTCTCTCTCTCTTTCTCTTTCTCTCTTTCTCTTTTTTTCTCTCTTTTTCTCTCTCTTTTTCTCTCACACACAGACACATAGACACACTCACTTGCACAAGCAGTAAATAATCCGTTCCGATTGAAATAAATTGTGAGAATTATTAATTATTAACTAACATCCAGCCAGTGCAAACGATCGCGCTAGAGTTAAATTGTGAAATTCTTTGAAAAAACGAAAGGGGTGTTGTAAAAATTTAATTATTACAAATAATTAATCGATCATAATTTTATTAGATATAATTATTCAATCATAATTTTATTATTTATCAAAAAAATAAGCTAATAAAGATAATTTGTCTAAGATAGTTATTTAACTAATGAGTTATTCAATTAATTTATTTACTGGAACTTAAATTTTTTCACATAAAAATTTGTTGTACACTTTTTCACACGTACACACGCACACACGCACAAACACACACATACACACATTTTTACTAAATCTTTCAAGTGTATAAACTGTTACACACAAAATGCCAATCAGTGCTAATAGCATGTTGTTATCATCAACATGTTATCATCATCATCATCGTTATTAATATTATTACTACTATTAATATTATTATATTATTATTTTTTAATAAAATATTTAAAAAAATTTATTTTGATAAATAATTCTAAAGCTATATATTATACTATATTATTAATTATACAGATATAATTAAACATAAAGTTAGTTAGTGTTATATCTAGTTATAAAAAGATTTAACACGCCCCTGGGTGGATTCGAACCACCAACCTTTCGGTTAACAGCCGAACGCGCTAACCGGTTGCGCCACAAGGGCATATGACTGGCCATCATTATTGTTATAGGATCCATCGAAATTTTTATTTCATCAGCAGAAGTAGCAGAGATTTTAGGTAGATGATATATTTGCTTCTGCTTATAAGACCGTTGTATGTTTGTAGTTCATTCTCTCTTTCTTTCTCTCTCTCCCCTCTTTCTCTCTCTCTGTTAGTAAATTATTTATCAGACTAGATGAATTTTTAAATTTTGCATTGGTCAGTATCAGCAGTTGGACATTAATTACTCACGCGTATGTGTTGGGATTCATAATGCTAATTTCGCTTTTAAAATGTTAAAACTGATGTGTTTGATCAATATCAATTCAAATTTGCACTTTAGTTAAGATCAAAAAGTCTAATATTTCGACCCATATTATTTATTTTAAGCTATTTAAGTCATCATTCCTGTTGGCTTGACAATGAAAAAGATATGTTGCTGAAATGAATCTATTTCATGATTTTGATATATATGATATAATAATTATATCTGAAATTTTATTAAAAAAAAGAATGTAACGGCAAAGAACATGTTTGTATTAATTCCAAAAATTATCCAAAACTGATTTTATTTGACAAAAAAAACGAAAGAAAAAAAAGCGACAAAAGTTGTTAGAATGGTCAGTAATATTTGGGCTCACGTGACAGAGATACATAAAGATCCCTGGAGCCATCAGCATTCATCTTGCTTTCAACTCTTTCGACCACCCTGTGATTGACCACAAGGTCCGCGCGACAACAAGGACACACGCTGAAGTGTTGGATGTAAGCGTCCGAACAATGGAAATGAAGGGCATGTCCACAGTGCAGGGTGTGCACGAACTTCCCCTCAACAAACTCTTTCTTGCAGACTGGACAGTCCTTATGGAGGAACTTGTGAGAGAAGTAGGGCAGACGGTAGCGTCTGCTTCGAGCCAATGCTTCAATGTATCGGTCGGTGTAGGTCATTCTTACACGGTCTATTCCATCTTCCTTCAGAGAAATGTTCCTGGCCAGATTGTACCCAGTAACTTCATCGAAGTATGCATCTTGCATGTTCTTCAGCAGTTCGTACTGCGTGTCAGCCGGCATGGTGCCAATGCGATTCAGTATTTCCTCCTCCACACTCTCTGTTACTATTAATTTCAATCTCCCGCTGGTTCTGCTCGGGTGGTCTCTATCCAGAGAAATGACGCACACAAATTTTCTCAATTCATCTCTCTTAATTTGAAATTTGTCATTATTTTCTACTAGAAAACCGTCAAATTGAGAGAGTTCGTCTGACAGCTGGATCCTTCTGGCGTCATCAATCATCTCTTTAACCATTTCCTTCAGACGGTTGGCTATGTTTTGACTAAATGAGTAGTTAGTCTCGAATAACAATCTCGAAATCGGAATCACATTGCCGTGTTCGGCTGAATCTTCCACCTCCTCCCTCAAACCACACATTTCTTGCTTCTTACTAGATGAGGAGCCCATTTCAGATATTATTTCTTCAGAGATTCTCCGTTCTATTTTTACGCTGATTTGGTGAACCCACAAAACTTGGCAATTTTTGTAAATCAGAAAAATTACTTCTCTTATATACGATTTAAACAAAGCCATTTACAAGAATTGATCTGTAAAAAGTTTACTAGAATTGAGCTTTTCAAAGTTGTCTGTTTAGATTTACGACTGGTTCCAAAAATGTTTAATTTTTTTATTAATTAATATATCATCTTCGTTAGTTCTTAATTCGTGGTTTTGAATTGCTGTACTAATAAAAATTTTAATCAATAAATATATTAATTTATTATAATTTAGTTCGCTATTTTCTAAGATTTCATTCTTAACCGTTCTTAAACTTCGATTTTGCTTTGTTTTTCTTCTGAATTTCAACTTTTCACGGATATTTCACGATAATACATCTCTAGACATTGAATACAATGTTTTTAAAATTCTGAACCCAAGAATTGATATTTTGTTTATTTTGGCTCTTAGAGGGAAAATGTGTAATGAATGATAAATGGCGACTGATCTTGCCTAAAAGATACCAGGTTCGAATAAAGAAAGATTCCTACGTTCTTTCATTTCTCATGTGTGTGTGTGTGTGTGTGTGTGTGTGTGTGTGTGTGTGTGTGTGTGTGTGTGTGTGTGTGTGTGTGTGTGTAGATTGGACCAGCTAAAATTTTTGTTTTTTGATTATAAAACTCTAAAAATGAGAATACAACGTATTAAATATTTTAATAATTTTTATTAATTTTTTTTCAATTGAAATAATTTAATTAGTGATATAAACTTTTGTTTAATGATGAAACAGTAATAATATAAATTAATAAAAGTAGAAAAATGATAATGTCATTAATGATTCGTGATGTCAGTTAGTTAGCATTTCACACGTCAAGATAGCAAAAAGATATGTTATTGGGCTTAGATTTGAGAATAAATGTAGCCGATCTGGACCTATATATTTAAATAAGAAATAAAAAGTAAATTAGAAAGATTAATAAATAAATCTATGAATTAATGAAAGAATGAGTGTGAGTGAATGAATGAATGAATGAATGAATGGATGGTTGAATGAATGAATGAATGAATGAATGAATGAATGAATGATTGATTGATTGATTGATTGATTGATTGATTGATTGATTGAATGAATGAATGAATAAATAAATGAATGAATGAATGAATGAATGAATGAATGAATGAATGAATGAATGAATGAATGAATGAATGAATGAATGAATAAATGAATGAATGAATGAATGAATATAATTGGAAGAAAGAATGTATGTTAATATATATAAAAATAATAAATAAATATATACAAAACATACATATAAACAAATATTGGCAATCATGTAATGAACCAAATGTTTTTAGGTCTATAGAATTGCTTTTATTTGAAAATTTAAGCTATCAAAAATTATAAAGAATTAAAATGATAATTGATTTTACTTAAATTAATTATTTAATTTGATGAATTGATTTAAAAAAAATGAGTGAATGAACGAACGAACAAACAAATGAATGAAAAAACGAATATGCAATAAAATAACGAAAAAATGTAATAATTAACTTAAATAAAACAACTTTCAATCGAATGAATGAATGAGTAAATGAATGAATGAATAAACAAATGAATAAATAAAAAATGAATTAATTGATCGAATAAATAATGAAATAGGTGAACGAACGAACGAAAAACAGACAAACAAACATTAGAACAAACGAGACAGAAAGACGAGCGAGACCGCTTCAAGTTCCATTGTCACAAAAACATTCCTACCCATTCATTCGCTAGACTAGAAACCAAACCAGACGAATAAGACGAAAATTATAAATTTGCTTTAAAAGTTAAACAACGACACCTAACAGAAACTGTTTAATCGGTTATGGTGCCTACTACATCAACTACAGTGACCGCCTTCGATTGCATAGAGATCCCAGTCATCTATAACATGCAATCAGTCGTGGATCTAGAAGGGGCGAGAAGGGGGATCAGGGTTAGGCCATGGCCCTCCTTTGCTAGCAACAATTTGTATTAAAAGTCAGTAAAACTCAGTTTTGCCCAGATAAAGTACCATTTCATATCAAAAAAAGGTCGCCATCCTAATTTTTGGCCACTCTACCACAATCTTGGCCCACCCGTTAACAATTTTACTACCACAAATCTTGAACCCCTACGTCAAAGTTGTCTAGATTCGCCACTGCAGACAATGCCTGTGGTACGGAAATTCTCGTGTACACACACACACACATATATACACACACACACATACATCGTGTATCTGTGGTGATTGATACTTTTGAAAAATACCGAAAAAAACTGTTGCAATGATAGTATCAAAAATAAAATACCAGCAATAATAATAATAACAACAGTAGAAACAACAAAAACAGATAAGTCTGATAAGACAACATACATTAACAACTGGACAAATCAGTGTGAATTCCGCAACACCAGATCATATCATTATAATACTGCTAGATGGTTTGATAAGACCTTTAAAATTTAAAAACATTTGCGTATTCTCCGTTGTTTAAATATAGAAACGTACATACGTACACAGATATACACACATACACACATACACCACACACACACACACACACACACACACACACCACACACACATACAATGTACATTTTAATACAAAACTGTAGAATATAATTACATAGATTACACACGCAAACATACATCCTTTCACGACGAACTAATTATACCAAAAATTTTATTCAAAAACTATTCTGTCTAACACAAGTACCCAAGCATGCCATATACTCATAGTTCAAGTACAAAAAGTACAGTATTTATACACAAACTTTTGTGTGTACTTAAAATTTATATACATTAATGTGTACAAAAATGATGTACATGTATGCGCGCGCGCGTGTGTGTTGTACATATTTATGTGGTATGTATGTACGTAAATGTTTATGTGTGTGTGTGTTTGTATGTGTATGAGTGTGTAGAATAAATGTGTGATTTTTAAAGTTGTTGTGGAAAAATCATTTATGTGTAATGTTTTTATTGTATAACTCTATATGTGTTTGTTTATGAGTGGGCCTGTGTGTGTGTGTGTGTGAATGTGTACTTTTGCGTGTGTGTATATGTGTGTGTGTGTGTTTTTTAAAGTTGTTGATTGAGTGGCTGATTGACGACTTTGGCCTGATGCACCAGCGCTTCGTCGTGTCTCAATCGGTTGAAGAAGCCGCACTGTCAAATAAATAATTGTATTTGTGTTTGTGTTTGTATTTGTGCTTGTACACACACACACACAGACACGTAAGTACACATACACACACCAAATAACAACAAAAAAGATGCAATTAATTTCAGCCAACATAGCATAAATGATAAAGGATACACACACAGAAATACACACACAAAAATACACACACATACACATACGCGCGCGTGCAAACACACACGCAAACACACAAACACACACACACACACAGTTACCTTCCATAGAACTAGCATGAAGATGAGAAGTAGTAGAACTCCGGCGCAAATAGCTGCAATAATGACCCAGAGTTCGATCTTCTTTGGCCTGCCAAGATTCTGATCTGGCATGATCACTGTGTACGCCTGTGTGTGTGTTTATGTTTGTTTGTGTGTGTTTATGTTTGTTTGTGTGTGTGTGATTGTGGTGTGTCAATTTGTGTGTTGTGTGCGATCTGATGTATTCATGTTTAGGAGCCAGCTTAACTTTTTTGTTTGGTATGACTGATAAAATTTAAAATTTTATTAAAATTAATAAATAATTAACTATTAACGATAATAATAATAAAACAATAATAATAATAACTGTTATTTTTTTTATTATTCGACCTTAAAAACGTCATTATTAGTTTTCCTCAGCTGAATGTTGAGAGATGGATCGATGATGACGCGCGCTTTCGAGTACACCCGTATTTTGTCGATTGTTATGAAGTCCTGTATGTTTGTATGCGTGTATGTTTGTATGTGTGTATGTTTGTATGTGTGTATGTTTGTATGTGTGTGTATATGTGTGTATGTATATGTATGTATGTAAGTTATTTTTGTTTGCTTGTTTGTATTTATGTCATTAAATGTATGTGTGCATGTACGTGTATATGCAAAGCCACTGACATACAAAAACATTCACACTCACATTTACACACAGACATACACGCACACAGACATACACACGCACACGGACAAACACACTTGTAGAAATGTGGTATTCCACAATCTAGAGATGAACTTGACTACAACACTCTCTCCAGATGTCAGTGCCCCAATATGACACTTTACATTCACGCATACTGCTGTACCTCTGTCACAGTCCTTTGGTTTGGGGAAAAGTTTTTGGGGGAATTTTCATCATTTTTATTATCATTCATTATTCAACTTATCAATCAATCAATCATCCAACCATTCAATCAAACTGCTAACTAACCGACCAGCCAACAGACCAACCATTCAATCAACCAGCTAACTGACCTACCAACAGACCAACCTTTCAAACAACCAGCTAACTAACCAACCAACAATCCAACTACTCAATCAAACTGCTAACTAACTGACCAACCAACAAACCAACCATTCAGTCAAACAATAAACCAACTGACCGACCTGCCAACCAACCAACCAACTGACTAACTAATCAACCAAATAGTTAACCAACTGACCAACCAACTGACCAACCAACCAATCAATCAATCAACTGACCAATGGAATCATTTTTCCAGAAGAGTCTTCGGAGTACCAGCTTGTTTTTGGTTCCTTCGTCATCCTCACATTCCTTTTCACCCGATCCAGATGGTGACTCGTTAGACGAAGTTCAGTAAGTTGCTAAGACAATTATTCGATTTCACTTTATTTTATTGATTTATTTTGTAATAAATTAATTTATTTATAACTTATGTTGCTGAAATGATAACCTAGATATTTTTAAAATATTGATGAACGCGTCTGAGTGCTCTGTATAAAAATGTGTCTATATCACACGAACGCACTTACTGACATACTTAGACACACATAAACAAACACACACTCAGACATACGTAGACACACATAATCAAACACAAAAATACACACTCACAAACAAAACACACACACACACACAGAAATACGTAGACACACATAAACAAACACAAAAATACACACTCACAAACAAAACACACACACACACACAGAAATACGTAGACACACATAAACAAACACAAAAATACACACTCACAAACAAAACACACACACGCACAAACACACACTCAGACATACGTAGACACACATAAACAAACACAAAAATACACACTCACAAACAAAACACACACTCAGACATACGTAGACACACATAGACACAAACACAAAAATACACACTCACAAACAAAGAATAAACACACAGACATACGTAGACACACATAAACAAACACAAAAATACACACTCACAAGCTCACAAACAAAACACACACACACACACAAACCTTCTTGTTCCTCCTGTACTGCAACTTATTGAGAGATTCCTGATTGCAAACCACGTCCCCTTCGTACTTTTGTTATTTTTTTAAAATATTATGTAATCGAAATATTTTTAATTGATTTAATTAATAAACAAATTAATGATAATAATAATAATAACAATGATAATAATAATAATAAAATAATAATAATAAAATAATAATAAAAATATTAAACCTCGATATCAACGAGATAGAGAAGATGCTTATGATTCGTTAGTTCGTACGGCCATTCGATCTCCAGTGTGCTACTTTTAACCAAGCCTCCCCATGAAACTTTCATCTAAAAGTAGTAGTTGTAGTAGCAGTAGTATCAGTAGCAGCAGCAGCAGTGATAGCAGTAGTAGCAGCAAAAAAATTTCAATAAACATAGCAAAAGCAGCCGTAGTAGTATCAGAGGCAGTAGTAGTGGTAGAAATAGCATTGGCCAGTGCAGGCAGCAGTTAACGTAAAAGAAACATCAGCAGTAGTAGCAGCAGCAGCAGCAGCAGTAGCAGCAGCAGTAGTAACCACATAGAGACGCATAGAGACACAAACACACCTCGTAACTGTGTACCACAATGTTTCCTATATCTTCCTCACTCACCATAGCTTGTTCACCCATCACCTCACCGCCAAAGTAAACATCACTTGGTGATGATCTCCTATATAGAAAAAATATTAGTTACGTTAATTAAATCATAATTTAATACAATTAATTAATTAATTACAATTAATTAAATTATTGTAATTTGTAAATTTATTGATTTAGAGCTATAAAAATAATAAACTCGCAGAGTTTGTAAGAACAATTTTGAAATCTGGCTCAGATAAGGCTTATATTACATTTTAATAATTTCGCTTTAGATGCGGCTTCTTAAGTGCTAATTAAAATCGGAGGCTGATGCCAAATTATCCCCTGACCTTGCTTCTTTTTCAAGACCTGCTTAACACCCCTATATAGCAATAAACCCGATACATGTATTCAGTGTTCAATTAGAAATTCATCTTAAGTAATGGCAAACGCATTTACTAATTATCTTAACATTAATAATGGATTCCATTAAGAGAAAAACTTAAAATCAGGCTGTGAAGTCTTAAAAACATTGTATCACATAAGTAAAATAGATTATTAGTAATAAGTGTTAGTAACATTAGTAAAATAATGAATGTTTGCCCTACCCTTTGACCTTGAGCTCGGCTTGAACTATGACCTTTAGGAAGAGGGTGAATGAATCATCTGATATGTCAAGTTCGGCGCTGGTCCTGCGCGGTTTGGTGTTGAGTTATTTGTATTAAATTGTGAATATTTTTATATAAGTATTTGAATATTTGTGTTTGGATTGTTTGATCTGATTAAATTAAGAGTGATTGATAGTTGTGTAAATATAACAAAATTAAAATATAAGTATTTATATTAGAATGTTTGAAAAAATATCTTTTGTCGCGTTTCGTTTAATTCTTTTCGTTTAAATCCGTCCCGTCTCGTTTTGTCTCGTTTTACATGGTTCATTTCGTACATGGTCTCGTCTCGGTTCATTTCGTTAAAACTTACGTGTTAACAGCCACAGTAATGTTGATGTTCTGCATGTCAGGCTTCAAGTCCGAAGGATCGAGACGCAGGGCGTAAGTGAGTTGATGGTTGACACCTGGCATGGGGTTCCCGATCAAACATGATACTATGTTGTTGTTGTACTCGCATTGGTAGTTCTTACCCTAGAGTTTAGGGCGTGGAAATAATTAAATAATATTTTTCCAACATTCGTTTGGCACTGTAATGGAATAAGTCTTCGAATGATTCGGTATATCCGAGGTTGAATTTTTAATTTCAAAGCAATAAAGTTTGATAAATAATGAAAAATGTTTGTACTAGGCGGCCAAACAATTTTATTTGACAATTTTGCGAAACAAATTAAAAAAGCGACCGATTTACATGGCACATTCTTCGTAAGACACGTTTTTAAAACAAATACGTACATGAAAAATTAATTGATTTAAAAGCAAAACAATTACATAGACATATCGGACAAGCGTATTATCAATCAAACATAGAGATTAACACGTGCGCAGCACAGTTTATAAAAAAAAGACAAAAAAAACAGCCATTCCAACCTGATCATCAGTCCCTTTGTATTTGATTTGTTCAGGCAGGTACACGTACAGCATGGCTTCATGAGCCTCTTCGTCGTTATTGGTCACCTTGATGTGTAACAGAAGGTCTTTCTTCTCCCCGACCAAAATTTTATACTCGTTCTTGCTGGTTCTGGCGGTAATGGGCAGTTTTGTGAAGTGTTGTTTGGGTGACCAGACACAAAAAGCTCTTTGAAATTTAACTTTCGTCACTTGTAACATTTTTTTCTCGTAATATTTTTTTTTGGTAAATAAAATTTTGTTTCGTTTCGTAAAAATTTGATGGGATTTAAAGGGTATTGTTACTTTGATTGTTGTTTGAATAGATTTTAAAATGTTTATTCAAAGTGGTTTTAGTTAATCTCAAGTTGGACTTGACTCTAAAAAAAACAAATTTTACAATTAATTTTAAAAAACCTCTGAAAGTTAAAAGAAAATAAAGACATGCGTCAAAAAATCTTATTAGAAGTTGAATTAAACTATGAATATAGAAAAGAAATTAGAAAAAATTAAAAAAAATGAATAAACATTCTACTTACTCTTCAGGTTTGTCAATGTTAGCTGAAACTTTCAAGTTGCTAACACATTTTACACTTTTGACGCAATTTTTTCTGAAATGAACCTATACGGAAAACAAATTTCAAAAAATTTAAAGATTATTTAATTATTCATCAGTATTTTCTAAATTTCGTTGAATTATTTCTTACAAATCTTAAAAAAAATTAAAAATTATTCCGTGTCTATCCGTTATTTATTATAAGTTATCAAAAAATTCACCAACATGAAAAAAAAACTGAAAAAATATGACTTTTAATATCATTATATCATTTATATCATCATCTATACCTATATCCACTATATCATATATCATTTTATTTAAAGTTCTTGAATAAAAATCTATTTCCATAGTATAAATATATACAAAGTGTGGTATGAAACTCACAGATTTCGAGATATTCTTGCAATGAATATCGAGAATGGGGTGTTGGTTGATGTCGTTGAGTTTTTCTCTGGATTTGGAAGTGGCTTGAGCATCGCCGTGATCCAGGTCGTAATATAGATGAAATTTCAGTGGATTTAGGAAATCCTTGTTGTTTTTCTGTAGTTATTTTACAAAATAATAATAATAAATAGAAAGAATAATAAAAATAATAATAACAACAATTACAATAGCAAAGACTGACGTTGAGAAAGACGTTGTAGTTTTCGCATTGTGGAGCCTTGTGGTTTTGGAGCTAAAAAAAATGAAATATTGAATTATTTTCGTGAATTTTTATCGGATAAATCTCATAAATGAGTGAATGAATGAAAGGAAAAATGAAAGGAAGAATGATTGAATAAATAAAAGAAAGAATTAGTGAATGAGTGAGAAATGCACTAACATTTAAACTGTGTTTGACATTGGATGAACCATTGAAAGCAGAAAAATAAACTCGATGTATTGAGGTCCCCGCCAAAGTTTCCGACTTGATTCTATATTTCAATTTCTTCGGTATGTCTCTGATAAAAAAAAGTAGTGGAACATGGTTTGAGGGAAAATTTTGGGAGTTTTGGGAATAAATAAATCTCAAGATATTGAAATAAGCACTTATAATGTTACAAAAAATAATTTTCTAAAGACTTTGACAAAATTAATTTTCGGAATTTCAAATAAAAATTGCTGAATTTTTTTTCACTCGCTCATTTATAAGGTATTTAAGTTAAAAACTAAAAAACTTGAGCAAAAAAAACTCTTACCTGGTGTTATTCTCGTTGTTTTTTTGAAATTGTGAATCGTAGGTGAAACAAACTTTCAGACTGAATATGCTTTCCTGATGTAGAAAAATGATCGCAAATACAAAATACTGAAACTAATTGAATTGAATTCGATATATATAAGTTTTAAATGTTTTTGAAAATATTTTAAACGATTGAAATAATATGGAAACATTGTAATTTGCAAAAGTAATTTGTTGGAAAGTACAGATGACGGAATCACTGATCGTATGTGCTAAGAAAACAAAATCAAACTTTGATTCTATCGGGATTTAAGAGCTGTTGAATTTCGATGTACTCTTCGCTGGTCGTTAACGACGCGGTGATATTTAGTACAGGGCGACTCCTTTTCAGGTGGGATAATTTTGCATCATTTTGAGGATTTTTTAATTATTTCAAAATTTTTGACAACGCTATCAGCATCACTAATTCCAAAAATTTACGACAAAAAATAACGTTGAAATCTTTTGATTTACATACACTAAATAATATAAAAAAAAGCAACAAAGAAACAACCGACAACACCACATTTAACACTCAACCAGTCAACCAACCTGAGCACAACAATTGAAGAACTTTCTATACTCCCAACAACAACATCCGGATAATTATTTCCATCTATATCCGTGCCGCCAATAATCGAATAGCCAAACGTTTGGATCTTTTGACCAAACAACTGCGGGGTTATTCGTTGCGAGGGAGTCTCGATAAGGCCCAGTTTAGACCCCCGGTATATGTATACGGCCCCACCATCACCTTCATACGGTGCGCCAACCGCCAGATCTGTATACATTGCCATTGTTCACGTTGCGTTACATATATATATATATATATATATATATATATATATATATATATATATATATATATATATATATATATATATATATATATATATATATATATATATATATATATATATATATATATATATATATATATATATATATATATATATATATATATATATATATATATATATATATAT